GGATATACTGTCACCGTGGATCCTTGGAACCTTGGGAGATAAAATGGGGATAAAATAGCCACTAAGGGCTCTCTTATCAAGCAATTGCCCTTTTTCCAGTTGGCTTAAGGGGAGAGAGATAAAGTGCGCTACAGTTGGTATCAGAGCAAATGGCACGGGTTCAATTCTCATTGATTAGTGGCTACTTAAAAGTATAATATACCCTTGAGCAAGGTATATTCCTACCCCTAAATTTGAAATTGTATGTATTGGGCATCCATGCGTACGTCCTTCCTCTTGTGTGGAGTATCCACGGACGAAGGTATCCACCGTGGGACTGCAGTACGGATGGATGACTAATTGCCTCACATGGAATAGCTGGTCTACACAAATGCTGGTTCCCCTTGGCTCAGTAGGGGTTGTTAGTCAATAGTCAATGAGGATATTGACATCTTTGAAGGGGGGGTGAGTGTAGCGCATGTGATTATGGGATGAGATTTGGATATACTGTCACCGTGGATCCTTGGAACCTTGGGAGATAAATGGGGATAAAATAGCCACTAAAGGCTCTCTCATTAAGCAATTGCCCCTTTTCCAGTTGGCTTAAGGGGAGAGAGATAAGGTGCGCTACACTTGGGCCTTCCCTTCGGGATGGAAGTGGGGGGCTAGAGGTACCTATACTGGGCCGTTAGGCCACGGTGTTTCGCCCCGATGTCCCGAAGCAAGTGTTACACCCGAGGCTTGGGATTTAGAGGGTCCTATGATCAAGTCTTGTTGCACCAAGGGGTGTTAGGAACCTGGATGGCTTGGTGTGTTTGGCTGTTGGGGAGTGTAGCCGAACCTTAAGTCCAGTCTAATCCGGGGAAAGGGATTGGGAGAGATTTGGGAATCCGTGGATGGAAGGCTAACGCTCCATTGCTCGTGCAGTGAGTAGTTGAAACCAAGTAGGACCAAGTAGGAGCTAGTACAATAGGCAAGAACCTTGGCGAGGGAACTTAGCACAAGCCAAGGCAGTGTTGGTCGGATAGACGAGGTAAGCTGGCAAACTAGAAAGGAAAAATTTGTGGCTTACAATTTGGTATCGGAGCATTTTCCTCAGTTCTAGCGAAGGATAGAGGCGGATTGCTGGGAGATAGCAAAGGCAGGGCGTAAGCAAACCCAGGCAGAGACGGAACCTCTGCCAGAGTTGGAGCCTCCAGTCGAACAAGAGGCTATGGATGAGGAATCCATACATGAGGAGGACTCCAGTGAGGAAACTTCCAAACAGGAGTCTGGTGGCGAGGTTCGGTCGTCCAAGGCTCGATTCGACGTTCTAGAAGGATAATTGGCGTAGACCAATGCCCTGCTGGAGACTCTCGTACGCAAGTTAAAGCGTGACGAGAAGCGGAAGAAAGAGTGAAAGACTATGGATGCTGGCAGTGCAGAAGGTGCGGACCCTTCGGTAGGGACTGAGGAAAAACCAGACAAGGTTGAACAGACCGAAGTGGAATCAGTCCCTCAGGCAGTTCCCAAGTACAAACCAAAGCCTACACCGGTCTTCAAGGGAGTGAATGACTATAAGGTGGTGGAGGACTGATTTTATGATATGGAGGACTACTTCCGAGCGTTGCGGTTACCAAGCTCGGAGAAGGTCCCATATGCAAAACCATACTTGGCAGATAATGCCAAGTCTTGGTGGAGAACGACAGAGGCCAACGAAGGACCAGTGGCCACTTGGGAAATGATGAAGGCGAGGATCCGCACGACTTACGTTCCTCCGAATGCTACTCTGCATCTAAGAGACGAGCTGAGTAGGCTGAAGCAGACCGGAACCATTCAGGAGTATGTGAATGGGTTTATGGCAAAGAGGAGCTAGTACAATAGGCGAGAACCTTGGCAAGGGAACTTAGCACAAGCCAAGGTAGTGTTGGTCGGATAGACGAGGTAAGCTGGCAAATTAGAAAGGAAAAATTTGTGGCTTACAGGTCAGTGCCATCCTATTGTGTATATAAGCCGTACATTACAACCAGCCTAAATGAACTACTCCACGACAGAGAAGAAGTGTTTAGTAGTAGTTTGGGGTTTTGAGAAACTTCATGCTTATCTACATGGTTCTCGAACGTTAGTTGAAGGTGATCATGCTGCTGTTACTTCATTATTGAAGCAGAAGAACCTCGTTGGTCATACTACTCGATGGGATTTGAAGTTGCAGATATATGATTTTGATGTTGTTCATCACCTAGGGAGTTCTATGGCTGATGCTAATGCCCTTTCTCGAGCTCCTCTTCCTTCTCCATTCTCTTCTCATGTTTCTGACGAGCCTGTTGTTCCAGCCTTTGTGGATTTTCTAAATGAGGATTCTATACCGTTGGCCATTACTGTACTTGACGTTCAGTGTCCACAAGGCACAGAGCAAGATCTACCTTCTCTTGATGAGGTTTGCGAGGCTCAACAGATTGAGCCATGGATTTGAAGGCTTCGAGATGGGTTTGAGAATCCTGCATCACTTGCTGATGACTTGCCTTTCCGGCATTTACATTCTCAATATCGCCTTGAAACTGGCCTTCTTTATTTTGTGGGGACGGATTCTAATGATCATTTACGACTGGTGGTGCCTTCTATCTTTATTCCATGGTTTCTCCATGCCTACCATGATTCTCCAGTTCTAGGTGACATCATCGTGTAACCGAGAAGCTGCGCAGGTCTTTCTATTGGCCGAAGATGTAACATGATATTATCCAGTATGTGCGTAGTTGTGTTTGGTGCCAAGCTCGTAATACTCCCCCTCGGGCTGCAGAAGGACGGTTGGAGTCAATTTCAGGTTCCCGTCCATTTGAGTTGGTGGCGTTTGATCTTATGGGACCTTTTCTACGGTTGATTGTTGGCAATGAGTATGTTATTGTTACTTCTGACTACTTAACTCGTTGGGTGGAAGTTGGTGCTCTTGCTAGCACCTCTGCAACTACTGTTGGATACTTCCTCCTCAATCATGTGGTGTTCCAGCATTCTTGTCCAAAGCAGATTCTTTTAGATAATGGTCCCGCCTTTATGGCTGAAGCATTTCATATTTTGACGTCTCGGTTGGGGATATGCCACACTTTCACGAGTGCTTATCATCCACAATCAGACGGTCTGGTGGAACGGCTCGTTCGGACATTCAAGGGGATGATTGCGAAGTATGTGAACTTTCAACATTCGGATTGGGATGGTTATTTGTTGTCTCTTCGGTATGCATATGTCACAGGGGTGTAGAGTTCTATTAGTGCTTCACTATATAAACTCCTATATGATCATGATCCAATATTACCAACAGAGCTGGGTTTACCTTCACGATTGCCATGAGCTGCCGATGCTAGGTCGTGGGATCAGTATTTGACGAGCATCCTTCCACTTGTCCGAGCGGAGTTTGCCGAACACTTAGGCCGTGTACAAGTGGGACAACAACAGCAGTACAACTCCCATCATCGTCCACCTGCGGAGTACAAAGTGGATGATTTGGTGTTAGTCCATTTTCCCCATCTTATAGTATGTGGTTTATCTAAGGGGCTCCTTGCGCAGTGGAAAGGACTATATCGGGTGTTGCAGCAAGTTGAACCACAAGTGTATGAGGTTCGGCATGATGTCTAGCATGCCAATCCTCCAGAGATTGTGCATGTGCAGCGGTTGAAACGCTTCATACAAAGGGATCAGGAACAGTTAATACCACCTACAGATCCGCCAATGCCTCCTCCTGACGTTCCTCTAGATTTCGGCTCATCTACAAGAGAACCCTGATGGTCTTCCATTATTCTGAGAGGAGGGGATGATACAAGGGCCAAGTGTACGGCTACGATGCCGTATACTAATATTAGTATAGTGGGATTTTGGTAGCCGTTAGATTGGTTTCAATTTGAATGTAAGCAACCAAAGAGAACGACTTGAGAGACGGTCCATAGGGTTCAAATATAGAAGGAAAGGGCCCATGAATAAAAGTGCACCTCCTTTTCCAATCGGTTAAAAGTCTTGGGATACTTGGGGTTAAGTGTCTTTGGGTTTAAATAGTACTGGGCTGGGTGACCTCTCGAGAAGTCTAAACTCAGGAGCTTACATTTGGTATCGGAGCGGTCTCAGGTCCGACTCTCTTGGTTGGCTAGGGGAATTATACCACATGTTGATTGACATCTAGCTGGTCCAGTTTGCTCCCGAGGGGTAGGGTGTCAAGAGAGCGGGGCTCTCGGGAGAGCTACGGCTCTCAACTTCCGTTCACGAGGGCGTGAACTTGCAAGGAAGCATGGAATCAACATCTAGCTGGTCCAGTTTGCTCCCGAGGGGTAGGGTGTCAAGAGAGCGGGGCTCTCGGGAGAGCTACGGCTCTCAACTTCTGTTCACGAGGGCGTGAACTTGCAAGGAAGCATGGTGGATTGTAAATAACTAAAGAGAACAACTTGAGAAACGGTCCATGGGGTTCAAATATAAAAGGAAAGGGCTCATGAATAAGAGTGCACCCCCTTTTTCAATCAGTTAAGGGTTTTGGGATATTTGGGGTTAAACGTCCTTGGGTTTGAATAGTACTAGGCTGGGTGACCTTCCGGGAACTCTAAACTCAGGAGCTTACACTGGACCACTCACTCTTGTATATAAACTAGGGTTTTTGGGCTAATTGATATGCACATTTTCTGTATTCCCTTTCCATATTCCAAGCACTCACAATGTATATGTTTTATTCATTTTCTATATTTGATGCACTCACATAATATGAATTACATTTTAGGAAATAAATGCCTCAAAATTTTATTATACAGAATGATATTTTTATTTAAATTTTATTAATAATATATAATACTTCTTAATGTCAATGTTCAAACAGAAATTACTATCAAATTTACTTAAACTTGGCAGATTCACATATTTATAGTTTGTGTTACAATAATCTTTTTAACAACCAATAATCTACTTACATGTGCATTTTATACTCCAATGTGCTAGAGTGTGCAGCCCCGTTGGCCGTTTGCTGGCGGGATGGCGGAGTGGCACTCACTGGTAAGATAAAGAGGACACGGGGCATTAGGTCACACAGGGACAATCTAGGGTTGGGAGAAGAGAGGTCAGATAGGAAATCTTTGTGGAATGCACTCTGGGGAATGCGCTCTAGCCGCCACGCCCACGCCCAGAGCAGCACCAGCAACCGAGGCGACCAAGCAGCTAGCACAGGAGGAGGAAGAAGAAGAAGAGGAGGATGGCCTAGGAGGAGGAGGAGGTAAAGGATCCAGTGCCAACAAGAGGGCTTGCACCATACCTTCCTCCGCCACTATGCCCGCCACTGACAGCCACAGCAGCGCCGACGACATTGCTACGGCGAGCTTGTTCCCGGTGGAAGACATTGTCCAGAATCCACTGCCCGGATTCGTGGCTCCCTCCTCCGTCGCGTTCAGCCCCGATGACAAGCTCGTCTCCTTCCTCTTCAGCCCCGATGCCACCCTGAGCAGGAAGATCTTTGCGTTCGATCCCGAGACGCGCCAGCAGCTGCTGCTCGTGTCGCCACCCAATGGCGGCGTCGACGAGTGCAATCTCTCCACGCCCGAGAAGCTGCGCAGGGAGAGGCTGCGCGAGCGGGGGCTGGGAGTGACGCGCTACGAGTGGGCCAAGAGCGCTGGAGCTTGCGCCGCCACTGCGCATCTCATGGTTCCTCTTCCTGGCGGAGTAAGCATCTCTTCATGATTTCATTCACTCACAAATCATCTTGGGTTTGTTCTTGGCCAGATCTACGTGCAGGATGGGCTTGGAGCGGAGCTGAGATTGAGGGTGGCCAGCACTTCGTGGTCTCCAATTATCGATCCTCAGTTGTCTCCCGATGGTCTATCCATTGCTTACGTCCGGGACGACGAGATCCACGTTGTCCCCATTACTTACGCCGAGCCAAGGCGGATTACTCACAATGCGAGATCATCCGGGAAGGTATCCATCTCTCTCTCTCTTTCTTACTATCATTGCTTATTCTATTCTTTACGTTTTTCCCTGGGGACAGACACATGGACTTGCGGAGTACATTGCTCAGGTATGTGTGTGTCACTCTCTCTTTGGCTTCCTGTCTTCTCAAGAGTTTAAAATATCTCGCTGCTGGCAGGAGGAGATGGACAGAAGGAATGGCTTTTGGTGGTCTTCGGACAGTAAGTTCATTGCTTTCACGGAAGTGGACGGATCCGCAATACCCCCGTTCAGGATAATGCACCAAGGCAAGCCCAGTGTGGGAGGTGACGCGGAAGAAGATCACGCATACCCGTTTGCCGGCCAGTCCAACGTGAAGCTACGCCTGGGTGTGGTTCCCGTGGCGGCGGCTGGCCAGATTACATGGATGGACCTCGAGTGTGGGACGAGCGAGGAGGAGGAATACTTGGCCAGAGTCATGTGGATGCCCGACAACTCCCTCGCGGTACAGGTGCTGAGCCGGGATCACTCCAAGCTCAAGCTGCTCAAGTTTGATTCCAGGACAGGCAGGCGGGCACTTCTTCTCCAGGAGACGAGCGACGTGTGGATCAACTTACACGACTGCTTCACTCCACTCCACAAGGGGACCGGCCGCCTGGCCGGGGGATTCATCTGGGCCAGTGAGAGAAGCGGCTTTCGACACCTCTACCTGTATGACGGCACTGGCTTCTGCTTGGGAGCGGTGACGCAGGGGCAGTGGATGGTCGAGCAGATTGCGGGTGTGGATGAAGAAGCGGGCGTTGTCTACTTCACCGCCACCTTGGACAGTCCACTGGAGACACACTTGTATAGCACACGCCTGTTGCCGGCGGCGGCGAGTGGCGGCGGCCATGTCAAGCGACTGACGAGAGGCGAAGGCAGGCATCTGGTGGTGCTCGACCACCAAATGCAGCACTTTGTGGACATCCACGACTCGCTGGAGAGGCCGCCGTGCGTGCTGCTGTGCTCGCTCGCCGACGGCAGGCTTATAGTTCCCATTTTCGAGCAGCCGGCTTTGACGCCCTGGACACGGAAGCTGCGGCTGGCGTCGCCAGAGCTCGTCCAGATCACCGCCAACGACGGCACCAGCCTGCATGGCGCGATGTACAAGCCCGACGTGAAAGAGTTTGGGCCGCCACCTTACAAGACCGTCGTTAGCGTCTATGGAGGCCCCAATGTCCAGACGGTTTGCAGCTCATGGACGAACACGGTGGACATGAGAGCGCAGTACCTCCGCAGTAGAGGAATTCTGGTCTGGAAGGTGAGCTGCTTCTGGTCTTCAGATCGTTTCTTGCTTGACATATGATGGACTTGAAACAGCTTGACAACCGTGGGAGTGCTCGGCGAGGCCTTAAGTTCGAAGGAGCTATCAAATACAGCATGGGGCATGTAGACGTCGAAGATCAAGAGGCTGGCGTGCAGTGGCTAATCCGGCAGGGGCTGGCCAAGCCGGGCAAGATTGGAATCTACGGGTGGAGCTACGGCGGCTACTTGGCAGCCATGGCGCTGGCTCGCTGCCCTGAGACGTTTCGATGCGCAGTAGCCGGGGCTCCCGTGACAGCTTGGGATGGATACGATACCTTCTACACGGAGAAGTTTATGGGATCCCCGGCAACGAACCAGGCAGGCTACGAGTTTAGCTCCGTCATGCACCACGTCCACCGGATTGTTGGAAAGCTACTGCTTGTCCATGGGATGATCGACGAGAACGTTCACTTTAGACACACGGCCAGGCTCATCAACGCCCTCATCGCAGCAGGCAAGGAGTACGAGCTGCTGATTTTCCCGGATGAAAGACACATGCCCAGGGGGCTGCGGGACCGAATGTACATGGAGGAGCGCATTTGTGAGTTTTTGGACAGACATTTATCGTAGAAAAACTCTCCCACAGATTGATTTATATATTCTATACATCCGAAGCTTCATTCTACCGGAAGTTGCACCTCAACGACAAACTCTCACACCTTGCTCTTCTCTGAGAACTTGAGTTGAAAGAGATTTTGTCTCGTTGAAGATTCTGATCAGTGGGCTTTGGTGTTCTCCTGGATCCGGCCGCTCGGCTGGGCTGCAAGGTTATGGTCGATGATCTCACCGCGTACCATGACCGACTAGAGACAAAACGAAGCTCGCGAATTACGAGAAAGAACAATCTATTCAACGCAGCCACGACCTCTATCAACCCTTGGGCTGAAGGAACTCCGAGGCACAGATGCCCGGTTTAAGGTCGATCTGGTGCCCGATGTGGAGATCAGATCGACCTTGAACCGGGCGCCTGGCACTCGCTCACCACGTACCATAACCGACTAGAGACAAAACGACGCTCACGAATCACGAGAAGGAACCTTCCGCATTCTATAAAAAATCGTCCCCGAAAGATGACACAAGCCACCTTCACATTCCTCACACAACCTAAAGCTTTCACTGCAATTGGACACATCTCCATCTATTAAGCCATGCAACAGCACAAAAGACGCATTTTCAGTGAATATTCTTCTCTCAATTTGGTCCCCAGCGGGTTCGGGTTGCCGCGCCTTCCGAGACGGTCCAATACTCGGTCATAACTACCTTATATCTTAAATAGTATTCTTTTTAGAGATGCTCTTAGAGATTTTTCTTGGTTGAGTTGTTGACGATGAGTGTCGTCCACCAACTTTTTGACAAAAGGTGACAAATACCTCTACACGATTTATTCCAGATACTTTTCTTATTTGTAGGCCTCGATGACAGCTGCAAACTTGATTGCAGGGAGATGTTTCAAATTGACGTTTAAGCCTTGCGACGCGAGCAGCTCTTTCTCTGGATCGAGGGGTGCCTTCTAGTGTGGATCTAATATGGTCCATGATCCCACCTTTTCGTCGTTCGAATTGTGTAGAACCATTTGCAAATTTTAAGCTATTAGAATCTATCATCTTTTATCTTGAGCATACACACACCTGCATGTATATTGCATCCCCTCAAACAATTCAAGAAAGCTATTAAGAGAGAGCTGGAGAGGGAGAAGCTGGGAATGTTTGGAGTGCCACTTGCAATAGTTTGTGGATGATGTGTGGAAAGGTTTGCACAATTTTTGACACTTTTAGGCCAGTGCCAACCATAAACCTGCAAAACCATTGTCGTTCGCAACAAATTCAAAAACGCTTTTCTCATGCGCCCTGGCAAATGCAGAAGTTGAAGACGAAGTCACATCCAAAGCCAGTTCGTGCAGATGGTGCCAAGCAACTTCCGCTGCCTCTGAGGTTGTCAACAGCAATAAGGATGCGAGCGCACCGTGTATGAGCTATCGAGATAGAGAGTTGTGCCCAAAGACTCCCACAGGCTGCTCATCAAATATGTTCTTCCTGCAAAGAGATTGCATGAGCCTTCACAATTTCTAGGTTGTGGGCCTGGCCTGTTGCAGCTTGGAGAATGGCACAGATCTCATCAACGTGGATTGGCTTGTTCGCCTTTGCTAGAATATTGAGTATTCCCAGTTTGCTTGATCACATATGGAATGGAGAACGAAGAACATTATCTCGTAGCTCTCTGGTGGCTCCATTGTCCACAATACCAAGCCAATAGAGAGAATAAACACTTCTACTCCAAGAAGAAGTCTAATACTCCAAGAAGAATTATTTAAATAACTTGAAGTCATGCTCATGATCTAAAACATCTGCAGACAGCAACTGGTAAAGTACGGCACGCCCAACGAAACAGCTTAAGGCCTCGGCGAGCACTCCCACGGTTGTCAAGGTCGAAGGAGCGATCAAATATCTAGAGGTGAAGATCAAGAGGTTGTCACTAGCGTGCAGGCTTGGGATGGATACAGACACCTTCTACACGGAGAAGTTTATGGGATCCCCGGCGACGAACCAGGCAGGCTACGAGTTTAGCTCCGTCATGCACCGAGCGAGAACAGGCGCCAACTCAAGTTCTCGAGAAATGTCTGTCCAAAAACTCACATACATTCGGTCCCGCAGCCCCCTGCGCATGTGTCTTTCATCCGGGAAAATCAGCAGCTCGTACTCCTTGCCTGCTGCAATGAGGGCGCTATGAGCCTGGCCGTCTGTCTAAAGTGAACGTTCGTGGACAAGCAGTAGCTTTCCAACAATCCGGTGGACGGCGTTGGTGGCTTGATATCAATTCCCTGAGGCCTATACCGCGATCTACCTGGTGCACAATCCGAGCAACGGCTGCCAAACAGCACATCATGATCCACGTGCGTGAAGTGGAGTCACCTTGCCTTGGGGCTTGACAAGGCTTCTGTACATCGGCCGTAGCCCAAGGCGAAGCGGCGGCACAGATGCCCGCTTCTATGTCGACCAACACCCAGGGATCCCCGCTCACCGTACCTGATCAGAATCTATGACGAGACAAACAAACTGAGAAAGAAGCTTGTAGGACCTGATGCACAACCCCGTGTCCATCTATTTAAGAAAGGCAAAAAAGTATAAATTAGATGGTTTATATTATAAGCATACTAGTCCGTTAAGATCTCTTAAAATAATAAAAGAGATCTCCACAGTATTATACAAATCACAAAACGCATAATGTACGCCACGCGCAACTTTCAACGCGAGGCCATGTGTACTTGTAGAATTTGCCTACTCCACTGAGATAGGTCTTCGGAATGAAAGAGTGGAGTTAAAATGGATAGATTCGAATTCGTGCAAGATATAGGGTCTGGAAACTTCGGCATAGCACGGCTAATGCGTGAGAAGGAAACAGGGGAGCTTGTGGCTGTCAAATTCATCGAGCGTGGCGAGAAGGTAATCTAACAGAACTGGAAATGGAGAGTCAAAGTTGGATCCATCCAGATTGATGAGAATGTTCAGCGGGAGATCATAAATCACCGGTCACTGAGACATCCCAACATCATTCGCTTCAAGGAGGTAAAATTTACCGAAATGCGCGTTTCTTCTCTGTTTTTCCAGACAATTACTTCCAGGTTATGCTTACTCCTACACACTTGGCGATTGCTATGGAGTACGCGGCGGGCGGGGAGCTCTTTGAGCGCATTTGCAATGCGGGAAGATTTAGCGAAGACGAGGTGTAGAAAATCTTGTGTTGAATTGTTTTGCTGATCAACTTTCCTTGGTAAACAGGCCAGGTTTTTCTTCCAGCAACTTATATCGGGTGTCAGTTACTGTCATCAAAACGTATGTAAATTCCTGGTGTTTCCCATTGTCTCTATGAGTTCATGAGCAGGAAATATGCCATCGAGATCTCAAGCTGGAAAACACCTTACTCGATGGGAGCCCCGCACCACGTCTTAAGATCTGTGACTTCGGCTACTCGAAGGTAACGTCGATTTGAGCAGCGGCTTCAACCTCTTCTTCTTGCGTTACAGTCAGCCGTGTTGCATTCTCAACCAAAGTCGACCGTGGGAACCCCTGCATACATTGCTCCGGAGGTGTTGTCTCGAAAAGAATACGATGGCAAGGCAAGTTCCCGAAATTAGTTGCTGTCTTTGTTTAATCCGTTATTTTCTCTCTTGGATCCCAGATTGCAGATGTGTGGTCGTGTGGTGTAACCCTGTACGTGATGCTTGTAGGAGCGTATCCGTTTGAGGATCCTGAGGATCCTCGCAACTTCAGAAAGACAATTGGTGTAAGTCCATTGCGTCGTGATTGTTTTCATTCTTTCGGTCTGTATTCTTCCTTTGGCAGAGAATTCTTAGCGTGCAGTATTCAATCCCAGATTATGTGCGGATTTCCAGCGACTGCCGGCATTTACTCTCTCGCATCTTTGTTGCAAATCCATCCAAGGTACTAGACTACTCAAACTAAGCTTCTACAATTCCATCTGTTAAACAGAGAATCACCATCCCTGAGATCATGCGCCACCCATGGTTTCTTAAGAACCTTCCAATCGACTTGTTGCAAGGAGCGGACGCAAGCTACGAATTCGACGACACCAATCAGCAAAGCGTGGAGGACATCATGAGAATCATCGCGGAGGCAAAGACTGGAGGGATTCCTGGGGACCTGCTGGATGATATGGGATTGGAATTGGAGCTGGACAACGACATTGACCCGGACGTGGAGAGCAGCGGCGAGTTCGTGTCTGGTGTGTACTGAGGAACTTGGCTGTTGGCCACGCTGGCGCTATTATTTTAGGGCAAATAAAGGAGCAAGAAGAAGAGGGAGGGCAGCCAGCCATGGTGGTTTCGAATCTGCGGGTGGCGCACTACTGGCTGGATCACGTCTATGGCGCTCTCATGTACAGGCTCAGGCTCTCGCCACCCTTCTTCTCCAATGGCTGGGGTGGCGCCAGGTTAGTGCTCCTGGAACAGCTCACGCGGCAGCTCATATCGCAGGGCCTCGCCAATTTCTCGGTTAAGTGCTGGCCGCCGCCACCCATCGATCCGGTGTGGCGGACCGTGTGGGAATCCAAGGCGGCCAAGCTTCAAGAGGGGATCTTTCCCACGCCCTGCGATCCGCTCGTCAGGGAATGCTTGCCGCCTGAGAGCCACATTGCGCGCGTCCGGCTGCTCATGCCCCGCAGCGTTCCGGCTCACAAGATGGCATGCGTCGTGCACCTCGCAGGTTAGATCTCTTGCCTCTCCTCTCTCTCGCGCGGGCGCTCTAGATCTCTCTCTCTCTCTCTCTCTCTCGCGCGCGCGCGCGCGCGCTCTCTCTCTCCCTCTCTTAGGCTGGTGATTTTCATAGATCAATCAATGTGAGCGAGGCAGGCACTGGAGATCATGGTTTCGAGAGGCGCTTGCGGCTGGGAGGACCATTGCTCAAGGATAACATCGCCACGCTGGTGCTCGAGAGGTCTGTTTAGCTACAACCATGCCCGCCGCTCATACACATTTATGATCATCACAGCCCCTTCTACGGCAATCGGCGGCCCAGGCTCCAGCGCGGGGCCAAGCTCCTGTGCGTCAGCGACCTGCTTGTTCTCGGCCGAGCAACGATCGAGGAGGCACGGACGCTGCTCTACTGGCTGGACAAGCAAGCAGGCTTCTCCAAGCTGGGCGTTTGCGGCCTAAGCATGGGTACGTAGTTCGTCGCTTCTTCTCCTTCGAAACGCATCCGGTATCTCTGTGCAGGAGGAGTGCATGCAGCCATGGTTGGATCGCTTCATCCAACGCCGCTTGCAGTCTTGCCACTGCTTTCACCCCACTCGGCCGCGGTGGCCTTCTGCGAGGGGATCATGAAGTATGGAACGGCGTGGGACGTGCTGATGCGGGACGAGGCATGCAGCATGACGCTGGACCAAGTCCGGGAGCGCATGCGAGCGGTGCTCTCCCTCACGGACGTGACCCGCTTTCCAATCCCCAAGAACCCCAGAGCCGTCATCTTTGTGGGTGCCACGGTGAGTCTCATTTTCTTTGCCTTGGAAACGAAAGCTTGACTGTGCCCGGCTGTGTAGAACGATGGCTACATCCCAGGCAACTCGATGCTGGAGCTGCAGCGTGCGTGGCCCGGCTCCGAGGTCCGATGGGTCACTGGCGGTCATGTGTCCTCGTTCTTCCTGCACGGCAAGGTGTTCCGGCAAGCCATCCGGGATGGAGTCGCGCGCTTGTCTTGACAACCAACATTCTTTTTTATTCATTCCTTCCTTCTGGCCTCGCTCGCCTAGGCTAGGTAGGGCTTCAAACAAAGAATGGAGAGGTTTCTCCAGAGTGCGGCCAAGCCCATCAGCGATGGCAGCAAGGAGAGCAGCAGGTGATGGTTTGCAGTGAAGACGGATGCTGATCCAGTGACCTGTAGGTGTGAGCGGCGGCAGCAGCAGCAGGAGCAAAATGTGGTCTTGGAATATGAGCAGACGGGCAGGATGCACAAGCGCCTCCATCACCTCTGCACCACCAACGTGATGAAGTCGTATGCTCTCGTATGGCATCGATAAACAACCTGGTGTTCTCCTTCACGTTTTGTTCGTCTTGCTTCGCAGGTTGAATGTCTCGAACAGGATAACTATTTGCCTCCGTCCATGTCAAGGTGTGCCTTTGCTTGCTTTCAGGATTCATGTCGTCTTTCCTACCTTCTCCAGGCAGAGTTACGTGTCCGACATCGAGTTTAACACTGAGGTACGTGCTTTGTTTTCTCGGCCCTTGGTTCTGCCCTGTTGAGGATCTTCGTCCAGGGTAATCTCGTGGCTTTCACCACGTCCATGGGGTATATGAACATCCATGCTTACGATTCCATTCTGTCTGGTAAACTCGTCTCGTCTCGTCTCACTGCAATTACCATGAAACTACGCAGGCAAGAGAATGCCTCCTGTGGCTGCTTATTCCCTCTGTGGAAAGCTTCAAGCCGTGAGATGGAACCCCCTGGACCAGCTGCAGGTGATTTTGTTTCCAAGCTTTATGTGATCACCAAAATCTTGCAGGTGGCATGCGTAGCCGAGTCAGTCGGTTCCGTCATCATCTTCGACGTCCGACACAGGCAGCCCGAGTCGCTCGAAAAAATGCAAGTCTTTAGAACAAAGCCGGGGACGGAAACCCATCGCGGCCTCTACGACGTGCAATGCAAAAGCTGGAAGTGAGTTTCTGAAAGCTACCCAAGCTTTTGACTGGTTTGTTCCAGGATATTTGCTTGTGCAAGTGGAGGCGTGTATGTGTGGGATAGGCGAGCAGGAAATCTTTCTACTGCGACTTTACGGGCACCTTCCTTTGCTGGAACGATGCTGTCTCTGGACATCACATCAGACGAACAGGTTGCAATCAATCGAGTCTCCAAATCACATCATCCATTTCGCTGTAGGTTCTTTTGGCTGGAAGCAGCAGTGGTCACATTTTCGCATGGGACATCCGTGGCGGAAAGGCTTCTTCTTGTTCTGCCTTTTCCTCGCCCAACAACGTAAGTTTATCTTAATAGCTTGTTTGTAGAAATCATGGAAGTCTAGGCTGACAGTGGTTGAGGCGCAGGTGGATCAACATCCCTTGGGCGTTATCTCCATGTCTACAGCCTTGCAAGAGATACCAGATCTCCGGGTAGACTTCTTACTTCTTCTTCTTCTTATGCTTGTCATCATTTTGCTGTTTCAGTCTCAAACGTACACTGGAGATTTGAGTGTTACATGTGTGCGTCTAAACTCGTCAGGTGATCAGCTTGCTTTCGGCCTCAACAAAGGCTGGTAGTTTCAACATCTCAGTGTTTTGCAAATGTTTGAGGCTCACTGGACGTGGTTTGTGTGTGATGAAGGTCCGGTGTAATCAACATGCTCAACTTTCAAGAGATAACACACATTCATTGCCCTCCATCGCTCTGGTATATAAGTTGATCGTTTTGATTGGCATTGACAATATGGTTTGGGTTTGTCAGGGAACTGGGAAGTCCGAGCTGGCTGAGCATGACAAAACTCACCTGGCTTTTGAGCCTTCCGGTGAATGCTGCTTGGATTGACACTGCAGCTAATGCGTTTCTTGCTGACAGGTAGTCGCTGTAGCTAGTGGGGACCTTCGTTTTCTCGAATTTTCTGGTCCGGGATCGCGCCATCACGTCAGGTAACTGTGTGACCTTGTGGCTAGACGAACGCCTGACCTCTCTTTTAGCTCGAGAAACAATGGCTGCGCTCCAGTTGTGATTGAAATGGCAGACGGTGTTTATAGTGTCGCAGCACATCCTTCAGATGGCTGCCTAATGGTTGGCACCCAGGTACGATGTTCTGACTTTATTTCTTCTTCTTTTATTCAACTCTTGTATGTGGTACAGGAGCATACTCATTTAGTTGCTCCAATTCAGCTCGTAAGAATACCAATCCCGAAATAAAAACCTCTCCATACCCTTTGCGTGTACCCAAAATCTATCCGGGATTTTTTGCAGTGTCCTCCACGATCTGTAGCTACTTGCTTGAACGATTAGTTCTTTTATGTATGGCAAGTTTTATGTAAGATCGACCACATAAGAAAACTTTCTCTTAGAAAAGTTGCTTTCTTAAAGAGCCTCTTTAGAGGACAATACAAATGTGTCAGACAATAGCACATAGGTTCCGGGTTCCACCATGCTCTTTGAGGCCACAACTTCCGCTCTATTGACATCTCCGCTTGATTTACATGCTCCTAGTAGGCTACTCCATGCAGCTGCATCGGGCTGAAATGGCATCGTTTGGATCAAATCTTGAGCCTCCTCAATCTTTCCCGCTCTAGCAAGGTGGTCAGCCATGCACGAATAATGATCCCGTGTAGGCACCATCCCATGCTCTGCCAGAATAGAAATAAACTGGAGCCTACCCTGTTCCAGAAGTCCACACTGGCTGCACGCATGTAGCAAACAAGTAAAGGTAATCTGATTTCCCCGAACGCCCGCGAGGTTCATCTCTCTGAACAATTCCACAGCCAGACCGGTTCGCCCGTGTTGGGCATACGCTGCTATCATTGCTGTCCAGCAGGCTACGTTATCGCAACCACTAGAATGCCAAAGCCAAGCCGTGAAAACAGTGGCAGCATTGCTCAAGCCGCCACACTTGGAATACATGTTAATCAGTGCTACACAAGCCGAGGCAGCGCATTCGAATCCCCGGTCAGAGATGAGTCTGTGGATCCTTTTACCGTCTGCCAGTGCCGACGAGCCGCAGCAGGCACCAAGAGCGTTTACCAGGCAGACGATGTCTGGCTCCCGGGACGATGCCATTTTGTAGAAGACATCGAGTGCTTCTGCATTAAGACCCGCCTGCACGAGCTCGAAGATGATAACAGACCAGCTTGTCAGACTCTTGCGAGTCATCCGCCAGAACAAGTGTTGTGCGCGGTCAATCCTTCCGCAACTGGCATACATTTGGATGAGTGCCGTCTCCACCATGCTCGTCATGCAACCGCTGGCTGCTGCTCTTACATGAAACAGTTTCACCAAGCCAAAATCACCTAGCTGACGCAGAGCCTCCGCAAGACACAGGAATGTGATAGAATTGGGTGTGATGCCTTCCAGATCCATCCTCCTCATGCATGCCACAGCTTGACGCGCATGCTTACACCGAGCGTATGCAGCAATCATGGAGCTCCAAGACACAACGTTGCTCGTCATCCTAAATGCGGGACTGTCGAAAATGTTCTGGGCATCGTCAATGCTGTCAAATTCACTATACAGACGGACGAGGGCATTCCGCACCACGACATCGGAGTCATGGCCGCAGGCGATAATCCTGGCGTGCAGGGCTTTGAACTCGCACAGTGTCCGGCAGCAAGAGAGGATACTGGGGAACACGAAAGCATCCGCTTTGACGCCCTCCAGATCCATTGCCCAAAACACCCGCATTGCTTCTGTCTTGTGTCCGTGCTGGGCATAAGCACAGGCCATGGCGTTCCAGGACACTTGGCTTCGATATGTCATCCTCTCAAAGACCACCTTGGCTTCCTCCACACTGCCACACTTGGCATACATGTCCACCAGGGAATTGTAGACGATGGCATCGTTCTCGCTACTGGGACTTGTGCCGTGGATTATGATAGAGTGCAGCCTCCGGCCAACTTGCAGCGATTCCTCTGTCGCTGTCTTAGAGCAAGCGCCGAGAAGAGCCACCAGTACATGTGAAGGTGGAAGCTTGTCACACCTGTTTGCCTCCAACAGCTGCAATGCCGTGTGCAAATGCCCATGCTGGGTATATGCGACAATCATGGAATTCCAGGACGCAGAGCATCTGCCTTGGACAGTCTCAAAAACCAGGCAGGCTTCGTGGAGGCGACCGCAGCTGCTGTACATGGTAATCGCTGCGCAACTGACCAAAAGGTTGGAAGACCAGCCGGTAGCAGCCGCTCGCACAGCAATCCAATTGCCCAGTTTCAGGTTGCGCGACATGGAGCAGGAAGATAGAAGGGTGGCCAAGATGAGACTGCCGGGGGTGATGCCTTCGAGGTCCATGACGTGAAGAAGAGATGCGGCATCACAATGCTGGGAGTTGCGTACGAGAGCAACCATCATCGTGTTCCAGGTGAAAAGATTCTTGTGATCAGTTGCATCGAAAACACGACGTGCATCTCCCAGGCTGCCACACCGCCCATACATTTCCAGCAGCAAATTTCTAAGAAACGTCTCACTATCATGCCCACTTTTGACAATCCTTGCATGAAGAGCCCTGAGTTGAGGCAGCGCTGGCTGCTTGTCTCGGCCCAGCAACAATCTTACATACTCCTCCCTCTGGTGGAAGAAAGAAACCAAGGGTGGTGGCGTCGTTGCCGCGGCCATGTTCACGGCCACTTTTATTTAGAGATGTCTAGCTAGAGCAGTTTTGAGAGAAATGTTTCATTCCGAGCACACTGCTCCACCGCTGCCATTATCTTCCTCCTCTGAGGTTTCAGATTCCTCGTCTTCAATGTTGCTTGTAGTATTGTCACCACCAATGCATTTGCAAAGGGCACCCGACGGCTTCTCCTCCTCCTCGTCTTCCTCCTCGTCCTCTTCCTCGGAGGAGGAAGAGCTGGTTGAATCGGATGACTCTTCATCCGACGAAGGTTCATGTACCGGCTCTGGATCAGTGTCACCTTTGGCCTTCTTTCCCGTGAATGTCGTCGTGGTGACCGTCTTTGTCACCACCGTCGTCTTTTTCTTGTATAGAACAGTCCTCGTTGCATGCATAGCTCGATCCTTCACCCTGCGATCCGGCCGCACTAGCTGCTTTCGCTTCATGCCGGATCTTGGCACCCTGAGCAAAAGAATGGAGCGAACGATCGAGAGAAGAAGGAATCCAATCACAAACCTGCGCATTTGGGTGGAGCTGCCGCTTTCGCCCTAGGCTAAGCCCAAAGATCAGGAAAGCTGTCTTCTTTCTATAAAAATCCACTCAGACTTAGTGATGGTTGCTGTCAACAAGGAGTGAGTGGTTGAAACTTCAACCCACGAACCGAATTATAAATTTACATCTCACCCGTCTTGGTGGAGCGCACAATTGCAGCAGCCATGGCCGCATTCTTCCACCTTCATCTTCTCCTCTCTGCGTTGAGCTTGGTAACGGCCCAGCAGCTGAGTGCAAACTTCTACGACAAGAGCTGCCCGGGCTTGCCTTCGCTGGCAAGTAGTGTCGTGAGCAGCGCGGTAGCCAAGGAGCCTCGCATGGCGGCCTCCCTCCTCCGCCTCCACTTCCACGATTGCTTCGTCAATGGCTGCGACGCATCCTTGCTGCTGGACGACACGAGCAGTATCACCAGCGAGAAGAACGCACTGCCAAACAGGAGATCGGTGCGGGGATTCGAAGTCATCGACGACATCAAGAGCAAGGTGGAGCAGCAGTGCAAGGGCGTCGTGTCCTGCGCCGATATTGTCTCCCTTGCCGCTCGAGAGGCTGTCGTTCTTGTAAGCCGAAGTATAGCCAACCTTCTCAACTTCATTTCTTGTTGTTTGGTTCTTGCAGTCGGGAGGACCAACATGGACCGTTGTCTACGGTCGGAGAGACAGCACAAGCGCCAGCATGGACACTGCAAACCAGGACTTGCCTTCCTTCTTGGACAATGCAACCCGGCTGGTTACCAGATTCAAGGCCAAAGGGCTGAGTGCCAGAGACATGGTTGCCTTGTCCGGTGGCCACACTATCGGCCATGCTCAGTGTGTGTTCTTCCGTGACCGTCTCTACAACTTCAGCGGTTCTGGCAGCTCCGATCCCATTCTCCAGCAGCACTACGTGACTGAACTGAAGCAGCAGTGCCCCTCAGCAACCCACGACCGCTCTATCTCCGCATTCGATCCCACCACTCCCGCAGGATTCGACAACATCTACTTCAAACTCCTACAGGTGAACAAAGGCCTCTTCCGCTCCGACCAAGTCCTGTATTCCACACCTGGAGACACGCAGGATGCCGTCAACGCCTACAGCAGCAGCAAAGCTGCCTTCTTCAAGGACTTTGCCGATGCAATGGTAAAGATGGGCAACCTCTCGCCGTTGACTGGAAGCAAAGGCCAAATCCGAGCCAACTGCAGGCTAGTCAACAGTTAGTCCACCTGAAACACACAAAAGGAATCTCTTACCTGGACAAAGAGTTGCTTCCCTGTCTGTAATCTTATACTCGTAACAAGTTGGGGGGTTTATATGATCTGCTGCAGCCAGATCCTTCCCCCCCTTATAGCCGATATGAGCAGATCGTTCACTACCGGGTGCCACTGGGTCTTCACCACGCCTGACTTGGTACCGTGAACCGAGTGAGTCGACAAGTAGTTGTTGTACCGGATGTCGAAGATGTCATAACCGTCCTCGCAGCTCCCCGTCGAGACGTACCATCCATCTGGAGACCAGCACTGCTGGAACTGCCTGGTTACCCGGGGATGGTTTTCGCCTATTTCCCAGCCAAAGCTATGGACCAGCGATTCTGGATCAAGGTAGCGCAAGTCCATGAGCATTAGCTGCTTCTTCTCGACACTGCAAAAGTCTGTTGTCAGGAGTGAGCAGAAAGAAAGAAAAAAAAAGCAGCTCACCATCCCGTGAGCAGCAGGAGGTTGGGATCAACGGGGTTGAACTCCACGCTGAGCAACGAGCTGTCGAACTTGCCACAGAAGTAGTCGGTGCCACTGACCACATCCACCATGCGGAGGTGCTTGTCCACGCTGGCTGAAGCGATCAAGGACTTGTGCGCGGCACCCGCTACCCCGTATACAAACGAGCTGTGGCTGTTGTAAAGCTTCTGACTGGTCCAGTGCTCCTGCGACTCCTTCCAAAGAACAACCGAGTGGTCGTCGCCACCCGTTGCGAAACACGGAGCACCAGAAGCCTGCCATGGCATGAACTTGATGCTGCGAAGCAATCCCGTGCAATGGGGCTCCCCTGGCAAGAGCCGGAATCTCTGTTAGGCGAGGCGAAAGTTAAGCATTAGCAGCACGCCAAACGAGAGCACTTACGTCGTCGGATAGATCATAGTATCCAACTTGAGCCCGACCGGTGCTCTTGAACGCTGCAAACAGTCTGTTGCCATCCGGGTGCCACTCCATATCCTGAGGACACTCATGTAAGTGAGCGCTGCAAATGCTTGTCATGGCACCACTGGAAGGCCAAAAAAAGAGGTATTTTTCAGAACTCTCAATGGAATGGATGATAGTTCTCTTACGTACTTTGTTCCTCTGAGCCTCCAGATCCTGATGCCTCCGTCTTGTGCCCTGTGAGAGAGAGAGAGCATTCTCAAAGTCATGTTTTGACAAACAGACAAGGATCTTACCAGGTGGAGATGAAACCTTCGGAATGCATGTCCATGCCCTTGAGAACAGAATGGCCACTGTCGATGGTCACGGGGCTCGACATTTTGTAAAACTTTGGATGGGCATTTTTCTTCGCGGCTTCGGAACGATCGCAACGCACCTTGGAGCTGGTTGGCAATTGCAAATCAGGGACTCGCGAGCTCTCCGCTGCAAGCAAGAGCCGAGAAACTTAGCACAAGGAAAGACAAACAAGGAAGAAGAGAATTACGTCTCTTATGCCACTTCGGAAGCACCACAACCTCCTCCTCCTCCTGCTTGTCCTTGTTCTTGCTAACCTTCTTTTTCTTCACCCCGCCCCCTGCGATCGCAGCCTTACTCTTGCGCTTGCGCCTGTGGGCTTGGAATTCATTCACGCGCTTGTCCTTGCCCTTGCCCATCTCGGCGGGGCGGCGGCAGCTCCAGAATGAAGGCTCTCTGGCTTATATTCTAGGGTTAGGCGAGGAGAGGGAAAGCTATGGAGGGAGAATGTAGCGCCGAAGCCTCTCCGCAAGGGAATCCATCGCTGCTGGGCCTCCCGTGCAGGGGCAACTTCACCTCCGTCGTGCCATCCTCAAGCCTGGTAGCGCTTTGTTCTCGCAACTTGTTGTTTCCAAGAGGGTTCTTTGTTTCTTGTATGATCAGGGTGGCCTTCGTGTCTATGTCTGCGATAGTGATCCTCGACCAGGTTGTCCAGTTTCGGTTTCTCGCCTCGCTGACCCCGTTGTCTCCTCTTCCAGGCGTCCAGGTTGTCAAGACGGACTCGACCAACATTCTCATCCGCTCCTTGATGCTCAAGAAGCCCAAGGAGCAGGAGGCGCAGGACAAGGCCAAGCAAGCCGACGCCCCCAAGAAGAAAAGGTTGTGCTGCGATTGAAATGACGCTCCTGTGACGGGCAAGTTCTTGTCTTGTGCAGGGCTGCTGCTGACAAGCCCGAGAGTAGCAAGTCGAGCAAGAAGAAGAAGGGTACGTATCTCTCGAATCCATGTCTTTCTTCTCTATACATTCCTTGTTACCTGAGCTGATTCGATGGTGTGCAATTCAGTGGATACAGCATCCGGCAGCGCTTCATACGAAGGCTACACTGTGGAGATGCTCAGGACCGCTTTGAAAGAGAAAGGACTGCCAGTCAAGGGAAGGAAGGTAAGCGATCCTACGATTTGGGTTTGTTATACGTACGTGATGGGCTTGCTGCTTCCACGCAGAGTGATCTGATTACGCGGCTCAAGAAAGCTTCGTCAGGATAGCAGCAAAACGAGTACTTATCATAGCACACAAAGCTCTAGTTGATTTTGTTGCATGTAAAGGTTGGTGAGATCCTCTACAGGCAGGCCTAAGAAAATTACGATGCTTACTTAATGCCCTCCAGCACGCTCTCGTGTAATCGTATTATTTCGGGATTTGCCAGAAACGGGCATCTGGAAAATGCCAAGAGCCTCTTTGATGCAATGTTCGATCGGGACGTGGTATCTTGGAACTCGATTCTGGGAGCGTACTCCCGACACGGTGCAACATCTGAGGCTCGCGAGGTGTTCGGCAAGATGCCTGCTACGGATGGTTTCTCTTGGAGCTCGATGCTCTCGGCATTCGCCCATACAGCTAGCAGGGACGAGGTGGGGGAGCTGTTCGACAAGCTCCCTGTCCGGGAGCTAATCTCCTGGACGAGCATGCTGCACTCCTGTGCCCGCGACGGTAGGCTGGAGGAGATGCAAGCGGTGTTCTGGAGGTTTCCGTGCTGGGACGTGATCTGCTGGAACGAAGTAATCACCGCGTGTGCCCGTGAGGGGCACCTTTCTGATGCTTTGGTCGCCTTCAACCAGATGCCCGGGAGGAGCAGCGTGACGTGGAATGTGCTGCTGCAAGCGTTTTGCCGTGCCTCGCAGCCGGACGTAGCGGCAGCGGCCTTCCACCGGATGCCGCAGTGGAGCTTGGCGGCTTGGAACTCGGTGATTCAAGGCGTCGGGTGCGAGTCACCGGCAACCATGTTTGGGAGGATGCCGCAGCGGGACAAGTACTCGTGGTATGCGCTCATCTGTGCCTGCTCCCGACGCTCAAATCCCGACGACGCGTTGGATGCGCTGCGGAGGATGCCATGGTGGGACGTGGCGGCATGGAACATGGTGATGGCGGCTCTCACCAGCGGCCGCCGCGTGCGAGAGGCGACCGAGATGTTCCACCACGGCATTCCCGCCCGGGACGTGGTGACGTGGAACATCATGGTGAGAGCGCTGGCGTTGGAGGGCGCTGTGGCGGCGTTTGAGCGGATGCCGCAGCACGACATTGTGAGCTGGAACTCAATGGTGCACGCGTATGGGTTGGCCGGGGAGACCGGCAGTGCTGCACGGTTGCTCCAGCAGCTGGCTTGCTTCAGCCTTGCCGCCACAAACTCCGTCATCGGTGCCTATGGTCTGAAGGGACAAGTAGAAGAGGCGAGGCGGGTGTTTGACGCGATGCTCCACAGGAACACCGTATCTTGGAACTCCATGGTTGCGGGCTACGTTCGTGCGGGACGGGTGGCAGAGGCCAAGCTGCTGTTCGATGCGATGGCGGACACAGCCAAGCGCGACGTCGTGTCCTGGAACACGATGCTGCCAGCATTCACCGTGACTGAGGATGCTGCTGTGCTTGAGCTCGTCGAGGAGTGCTTCCGAAGGATGCCATTCACGTCACAGGCGTCGTGGAATGCGATGCTGCATGCATATGCCTGTGGAGGTGTTACGCAGAGAGCGGAGCAGCTCTTTGAGCGCATGCCCGAGAAGGACTCGGCGTCGTGGAGCGCGCTGGCATCGGCCCGCCTGCTCAGTGGCAAGTGCCAGAGTGCCGCGAGCGTCGTGGCACTCATGGACCTGGATGGGTGCAAGCCGGACGCAGTGAGTTACATCTCTGCGCTTGAGGCATGCGGCATGGCTTCGGATCTGGCACAGGGGAGGATTCTCCACGCCGAAATTGTGGCTGCTGACGACCCGGCGCTGCAAGATGGTGGAAAGGTGGCGACCGCACTGGTAAGCATGTACAGCAGGTGTGCAGCGCTCGGGGAGGCGGTGGCTGCCTTCGACGGTATGAGCAGCAAGAACCTTGTTTCGTGGACTGCGATGGTGGCGGCTCTCGCGCAGAACGGATTCAGCAGCCTTGCTCGGCTCGCGTTCTGGAGAATGGAGCTCAACGGCTTCACGCCAGATTCCATCAGTTTCATCAGCATTCTGTCGGCTTGCAGCCATGCCGGGAGCGTGGAGCTCGGGTGGAGCCATTTTGTGTCCATGGTTGGCGACTATGGGATCCAGCCGGGGTTGGATCACTATGCATGCGTTTTGGATCTCCTGGGCCGAGCCGGCAACTTGGAAGACGCTCACGAGTTGATGGACGCCATGCCTTTCATTCCCGGCCCCGATTCTCGGACCAGCTTGCTGAGCGCATGCCGGGGCCTCCCGGTGTCCAAAGTCCCAGAGTTCGTTCCACACGAGCAGGAGCTAGACGGAGGAGAAGATGTCTTGTTCGTGGGAATCCTTGCGGCGGCTGGTTAACAACATCGAATTACTCAAATCCTTCTTAAAAAGAGAGGGCAGGGCAATGGATGAGTGAGCTGGAGCGCTATGGCGGCCACTGCTGCTGCCCTCGTCTGCATTGGTAAGCTTGGGTTGGTTCCTCCATCCGGTTTCAAGCGCCCGTGTTGTTGTTGTTCCAGGTGGTGCCGCTGTCTGCTGTGGAAGCCGAATTGCAGCAGTGAAGAAGTGCTACTGCTACAGGTTCTCCAAAGCGAAGACTAATCCAGACTAGTAAAATCTTGACTTTGGTGTGAGCAGCAGCAGCAGCAACAGCAACGGCAGCCGGGGTCAGCACAGGGCGACAGTTTGGTGCTGCAATGCGGCTGCGGCAGCCAACAATTCGGACTCGCGGCCTGATGTGTGGAAGAGCGGGAATGGGTTTCACCCTCTGGAAGAACTCTCGAGTCGGGAGAAAGAGCAGCTGGAGAGAGTGCGTACGAGCAAGCTCAACGACGGGGAGATTGCACGCACAATTGCCGAGGTTTGGGTTCCTCTTTCCTCCTGTTGACCTCGGTGGAACTTTCTCGCTTTTTGCAGGTTAACAGCAACGCGATTCTTTTAGCTCCCGCCTTGTCTCAAAGCAATGCCGTGTACGGCACCGAAGTTATGTTCGTTGTGGACGAGCACGGAGGTATGCACAGAAACAAGGTTTCCGGCTCAGTGCGATCGAGTTGTGTGTGTTGTGCAGATATCTACTTTGAACTAGCGGATGACAATGATGTTTTACACAACTTGGCCGTGAATCCCCAGTGCTCGGTAAACATCCCAAGTTCTCCACTTCTTCATGTCTCTTAGGCTTGCGTACAGTTTATAATCGGCTTTGGCGAACTCAACGAGCTGCTGACGACCGAGTTGCTGCCTACTTATGAGAACCATCTGGCAGACGATCCTGCTACACTGCAGGTGGTGAGGCCAGGTTTGTGAGCTTGAAAACTGACCTTTGCTTGCAGGATGTGGAGGCTTTTGTTGAGGACGATAGTAGCCAAGACGAGATTAGTAGCCAAGACGGTGACATTTCGGAATCTGAGGATGTTTCGGACACCTGCGACATGCCCCTCGGTGTGCATCCTATGGTGTTTGCATCTAAGCTTGCCAAGGTAAACTTCGTTCCGCTGCTTTGTTATGCTCACTTCAACAGAGCATTCTTGTTGCAGGTTACATCTCTGGACCCCGTTTCCGGGATCTTCAAGCCGTCGATGCGGCTGGCCATGACAGGGGTGGTGAGCAGTGTGACCGAGGAGGAAGCAGCTTCTGCTCGTAAAATGTGGGAGGAGCGGTTCCTTTGGGAAGATGATGACGAGAGCAGCGGAGACGAAGAAGAAACACAAGAGGGTACGTGTAACTGGAGAATGGGGATTATAGATTTCAATATGCTTCATCTTGATATGCAGCTTCATCATCCGAGAGCGAAGAAGAAGAGTGGTCAGACAGCAGCGAGTCTGAAACATCGCTGTACAAGTTTCAGATTCAAAGCATTCAACTTGCATCTGATATTGGAGCTCACGTAAGCATTCTGCAAGCTTTATCAGCCACTAGTATTCACTATGCTTTTGCAGGCCTCGGTGGATGTCAAGGAGTTCAGATACTCTGAGGCGGATGTCTTGGCTCATGCAGCCCCGGACATAATCAAGCGTTTAAACTCGGGTGGAAAGAAAGTGAAACGCGCCCTCAAGAGCCTGTGTCATAGGGAGCACGGTGTAGATTTTGAGGTGCAATTCCTTCCGATCTCTCTCCTTTCTTACGTGCTGAGCTTTACGACAGGAGGTGGTGGTGATCGGAGTGGACAGCCTCGGAGTGGACGTGAGAGCATGCCGCGGCATCGAACTGAAAACCATGCGTTTCGCGTTTGCTAGACGAGTAAGATGAGCAAACACGAATACCATTCCGATGATTATTTAAGTGCTGCCTTGCAGGCCAGATGCATCGACACTGCACAGCTCTTGCTACACCAGCTCCTGTACCCTCGCAGTCGGCACAAGAAGTGATTGGGATGGAAAAATGGGAAAGAAACAATACCCAAGAATACAATTTGTCACTCGTCAGCCATCCTAGCCAGCCTCGCCAGCGTGTTCCTGGCCATCCTGTTGGAGGGGTCTCTCTGCAAAGCCTCTCGCAGATCTTGCACGCACAGCTTGTATTTCTCCATGCTCTCGTACAGGAAAGCCCGTTGCAAGAGCACCTCAGCCGTCGGCCCGGCCATCTCCAACACCTGGAATAGTGAAACCGGGTGTGACGAAGACGGACCAAATTGAAAAGTAAAGCCTACTACCTTGGAACAGTCGCCAACAGCTTTCTTGTACTCGCCGACTTCTTTGTAACACGCCGCTCGAGTGGCAAGAACTCCAGTCAGCTTGTCTGGGGACTTGTCCAGCAGCACCACGGCCCAAGTCAGCCACTTGATCGCATCGGCAAACTGGCCTTGCTTTTGAAACTCGTCGCCTTTGTCCTTGGCCAAGCTGCCCGTAACGCCAGCCGGTGGAGGTGGTAGTCCGTCGAGCTCGGTGGTGGCCGGCGCCGGGTCAGCATCGGCGGCTTGAAACCCCGTGTCCCAGTCGGCTTCGTTGAGGCCATGAATCCCGTTGGACATGCTCACGCTAGCTTGTGCCTGTGGAGGAGCCTGTGGTTGCGGTGGTGGTATCTTGCGCCAGAGATCATCCAGAGGATCCTGAGCTCTCCCTGAAGAAGCCGGTTCAAAGAGCTTGTCCATGGCAGCTGCCTGCGGTGGTGGAGCGGACATGCCCACGAAACCACCACCAGCTGAAGGCGGCGGCGGTGGAGCAGACATGCCCACGAAACCACCAGCATTCGCAGATCTGCCACCATCCTTCATGGGAGCCCCTCTGTTGAGCGACGCAGCCATGGGGGCCGCAGTAGATCCAGATCCAGATTTCATCGCGGTCATGGGCGTCTTGAGCAGATCGCTGAAGAGATCCGCTTTGGAGTTGCCAACTCCACCCACGACTCCATTGCTCGCCGGCCTGCTCTTCGCAGTGGCACTGGACTCGAGTGGCACCCAGCTCCTGCCGGTGATGTCTCCCACCATGGAGCTCGTACCTGTTAAGCTGGAGACCGGCTTGTGAGTCCATGGCTGTGGCTGTGCTTGCTTGGCCTGCTGCTGCTGTGGCTGCTGTGGTTGCGGCTGCGATGGGGCCGGCTGCTTGAGGCCGCTGAGCGTGGTGTTGCCAGATCCGCGACCTAGATTCCCGAAATCGAACTCGTAGTTGCTGAGGGGCGCGGCAGCTGCTGCGCGCCGCGCATTGCCGCCGCTCCCACTGCCGCTGCCGCTGCTCTTCATGGAGGAGGAGGACGAGAGTGAAGATTAGGGCGGAATATTCAGCCAAAGCGACGGCTGCGATCGTGGTGAAGATGCTGTTTCAAAAAAACACGATTTGGCTATGGCGATCCGCGTTTAGGGCTGCCCCCTGTAGCAGCAGCAGGCTCGCAGCTGGTGGAGAGGTCCGCGGGAGAGGGGAAGAATGGGATCTTTCAAGCTCAAAGCCAGCCGCCAAGCTGCGCAGGTGCGTGATCGGGATCCCCGCCGCCAGCAGGAGCAGCAGCAGAGCGCGTCGTCCTCGGAGCGGGACAGGCACCTGAGCCACGAGAGCGTGACTCTGTTCAGCAACATTGGCGGCCTGGATGGCTTCCACGGCAGGAGCAGTAGGTCGCAGCAGCAGCAGCAGCCGCAACAGCAGGAGCCCGGCGATCTGGAGAGGAGGTTCTGGAAGCAAGGCGGGGTGGACGCTCGCAGGCATGGGAGTGGGAGTATAAGTCTAGTGCCGGCTGCGTTCCAAGCGCAGCAGCAGCCATCGTCGAGAGGTGCGAGCTTGGTGAAGCAGCAAGCGCGCGAGCAGGGGCAGGAGGATGTGGATTTCTCGCAGCTGCCCTTCGACGTCCTGCGGCGGATCTCTGGGGGCTTCTCGCTGCCGAACCTGTGGGCTGCGAGCATGGTGTGCAAGTCGTGGTACCAAGCGCTCTCGTCTCTCCGCGAGGCAGTAACGTTTGTCAAGTGGGGGAAAATGTACAAGCATGGGCGGGGTGGTGTGCCTCAGGACACAGGCATGGCTTTAGATTCGTTCCTCAAGGGAGCTGCTCGGGGATGTGCAGCTGCCATGATCGATGCTGGCTTGTTGCTTTGGGAACAGGTAGAGATTGGCTTGGCTTGTTTGTTGCTTGCGTTTGTTTCTTCCTTTGGGGATCCTCGCTTGATCAAGTTTCTGGGTATATAGGGGAGAAGGGAGGAAGGCATTCAATGGTATAGGAAAGCTGCCGAGCTCGGTGATGCCGCCGGGCAGTGCAACCTCGGCCTGGCGTTGCTGCAAGGTACGTACGTCCGTGGTTTCCAGCTTTTTGTTTTCAGCAACAAACGCTGGTGGGCTGCTTGCAGAACCGGTGGACGCCAGTGAGGCCGTCAAGTGGTTCCAGAGGGCCTCGGACGCTGGCCATGTCCGCGCGCAGTACAGCTTGGCCCTGTGCTTGCAGCAGGGACGCGGTGTCGAGCCCAATCCCGGCAAGGCTGTAAGTCTGTGAGGCTGCTCTTTTCGTTTTTTCAACGTGTGCTTGCGGCAGGCTCGATGGTACTTGCGAGCAGCCGAGGGTGGGAGCTCGAGAGCAATGTACAACACGGCCCTGTGCTTCCTGTCTGGAGAAGGCTTTGCTCGCAACTATCACCACGCGCGGCATTGGATGCGGCGTGCGGCGCTGGCGGGGCACCGCAAGGCGCAGTTCGAGCACGGCTTGACACTGTTCGCGGTAGGGAGGAAGGGTGGCGCTCTTGTTTCTCACTGCTGCTCTGCATGCAGGAGGGCGACGGCGGCCTGGCCCTGGCGTTCCTGGAGCTGGCGACGCGGGCGGGGGAAACAGCTGCCATACACATCCGCGACGCGCTGGTGCAGCAATTGCCCGCCCAAGAGCGCGCAAACGCCATCGCCTGCGCGGACAAGTGGAAGAAGCAAATGAGGCGCGGGTGATCATCGTGCTCGCTCTACTTAGGCCTAAGCTTAAAGGAGAGAGAGATATTATATTACATACAAACACACACACAAATGGCGAGACAAAAGAAAGGGGGTTCGATTCGCTGCAGCTGCCCTGGTCGGCACTCGAGGGGCATGGGACAGCTCCCAGCTGGCTCTTTGGTGCACACGGGGGGAGATGGTAGGTTAGGGCTTTAGGAGGTTTCTAGATTTTAGGGCCGCGATGAAGCTCAGCACCGCCTTCGCTGGGGGCACACTAGCCACTGGGATTGGAGCGCCAGCGCCGCGTCTCTAGGAGCTCTTGGTGCATTTGCGTGGGCATGGACGAGGGCGGGAACGCGACAACCAGGGGCATTGCGGCGCTTCTCCCGCCCGCTTGCTACCTCTGCGACCTCCGCCACGAGGCGGCGCCGGCGCCGGCGCCGGCGCCGGCCACCGCCGCTGTGTCCAAATGGAGAATGAAGGATCGGGTAAGGTTTCTGTAGCTGCCCACTCCAATGCACGCTCACTGTTCGCCGCCGCCAGATGAAAACGGGATGCGTCGCGCTTGTTCTGTGCCTCAACATCGGCATCGATCCGCCGGATGTTATCAAGATCAGCCCTTGTGCGCGGATGGAGTGCTGGATTGGTAAGAAGCGCGGAAGAGCTCTGTCAGGCCTTATACTCTTTCTTCTTTCCAGAGCCGTCGGCAAAGGCCATTGATGTGATTGGGCAGACGCTGCAGTCGCAGTACAAGCGATGGCAACCCAAGGTAGGAAGCTATAGCCCGCAACGCACCACAGGCGCTTGGCTCGGGTTCTCAGCTTGCTGGTTTTTTTGGCAGTAGGCACTGTACAACCTTCGGCTCGACTCCACGGTTGACGAGGTGAAGAAACTGTGCGTGCAGTGCAGGGAAACGGCCAAGTCGGAAAGGGTCTTGTTCCATTACAATGGGCATGGCGTGCCGAAACCAACGGCAAGCGGGGAGATATGGTTTTTCAACCAGGTGCGAGCTTTTCTTCATTTCTTCTTCCCAACAATGTATTTGCAGAGCTACACGCAGTACATCCCCCTCTCCGTGTATGAGCTGGATTCGTGGCTGGGCTCCCCATCCATTTACGTCTTTGATTGTTCTGGTGCCGGAGCAATCATCAAGGCCTTCTGCGAGGTAGACCAAAAAGAAATAAAAGAAACAAAAGAAACAAAATATTCGCTTGCTTGTCTTACCTGTCAACTTTTCCAGCGTCCAGACTTCACAGCAACGAAAAACTGCATTTTACTCGCTGCCTGTGGTGCAAACGAGCTTCTTCCTCAGAACCCCGTGTTTCCGGCGGACTTGTTCACAGCGTGTCTGACGACGCCTATCAAAGTTGCTTTGAGATGGTGAGAGAGAGTGAGCACAACTTTGTTTATCGCCTTTTCAATCTGCACTTTGCAGGTTCTGCTCCAGATCGTTGCTGCGGGATTCACTCCGCTTGGACCTTGTTGACAAGATTCCTGGCCGACAGATTGACCGAAAGACTCCACTCGGGGAACTGAATTGGATATTCACGGCCGTCACCGACACCATTGCCTGGAATGTGCTTCCACCGGGTATGTACTGTGTTTACCTCTCCTCTCTCCTCTCTGTCTTACTTACGCCCGTGCAGAACTTTTCCAGCGCTTGTTCCGGCAAGACCTTTTGGTTGCAAGTCTATTTCGAAACTTTCTCCTTGCGGAGCGGATTATGAGGTCTGCAAACTGTGCACCTCAATGTTATCCGCGGCTGCCTCTCACTCATCAGCATCCAATGTGGTTTGTATCTTTTTTCCCCGCTCCTATTGTGTTTACAGCTTGTTCACATATAAAAGTTGATGCAGGGACGCCTGGGATATGGCAGCAGAGTTCTGTTTGGCTCAGCTTCCGGCTCTGCTCGATGATCCGAATGCGGAATTCAAAGTAAGCGTGCACGACTCGTTATTTTTTATTTTGTTCTTCCTCCCATGTTTTGTGCAGCCAAGTTCATTCTTTGCGCAGCAGCTTTCTGCTTTCGAGGTGTGGCTTAGCTCGGGATCAGAGAGGAAGCCGCCCCCGGAGCAGTTACCGATTGTGCTTCAGGTTTTACTGAGCCAGTCGCATCGGTTTCGGGCTCTGGTACTACTGGGGAGGTTTCTGGATATGGGACCTTGGGCAATCGATCTGGTTCGTTATTTATGTTCGCGGTTCTTGTGTTCGTCTTAACAGCAGCTGCTCTCAGGCTTTATCCGTCGGTATCTTCCCCTACGTCCTCAAGCTACTTCAAACGACGGCAACAGAACTTCGGCAGATATTGGTATTTATATGGACGAAGATCCTTGCCCTGGACAAGGTAACACGCGCTTCACTCCCTCTCGTTCTTGTTCTAGTTTGTTCTAATTTCCTTCTGTCGCTTGCAGTCATGCCAGGTCGATCTGGTAAAGGACAAAGGTCATTTGTACTTTATCAGGTTTCTGGACAGCCCGGACTATCTGGCAGAACAGCAAGCTATGGCTGCTTTCGTTCTTTCCGTCATTGTTGACGGGTATCCTCGTGGGCAGCTTGCATGCCACGAAGCGGGCGTGGTTTCAATCCTTCTACGGCATGTTCAAGCGGGCACTGAACTGGAAACGCAGGCCGAGCCTCTCTTTCTGCAATGGGCGTGCTTATGCCTCGGCAAGCTTTGGGATGGTACAAGTGCAGCCCAGGCATGTGCCTTCCGCGAGAATGCCATTAGTAGTTTGGCTCAACTCTTGAGTGAACCGCAACCCGAGGTAACCTTCGTCCTGCTGCTTATGTTTGGTGATCCAGCCTAGCTTGTGTGACATGTTCCAAGTCAGGTCCGAGCGTCGGCTGTATTCGCCCTGGGGACGTTGCTCTCTTCCTCAAAGAATGATGCGGCGGCAGAGGAAGATAACGAAGACGATAGACTCGTGATCGAGCAGGACATCGCAAAGGTTCTTTTGCGAGCGGTGGGTGATGGGAGTCCTCTGGTCAGAGCTGAACTTGCCATAGGTATGGGCATAACGTACTTTAACTGCATGCCTCTCACGCTCTCTTCCTCTCTCCCTCTCTCTCGCAGCTTTTGCGCACTTCGCTACCAACCATCATAAGTTTCTGAATTCCGCGGCGGCTGCATATTTGAAGCCGCCTTCGAACCCTGCGCTGGCGGACTTCTCTTCCAGCAAGAGTCCTACAGGCAGCCTGATTTGTCCGTCTCAAGTGCTACTGGTAGTTCGGTCACTTAGCCTGGACCAGAAAGCTCAACCGGATGTGTCAGCAGCTGGCGGTGAGAAGCAAGATGGTAGTAATTCGTCGTCCGCCCCCTCGTCCGCCCCCTCGTCCGGGGCATCGTCGCCGCTGGATGGATCCAAGCTTGTAGTGAACGGCTCCAACGGCAATGGCACTTTGAAGCTCAGGAGACCCCGCGCCGAGGACAATAACAGCTTGTACTTGCGTTGCATTGCAACTGCCTATGCTTTGGCTCGGGATACGTCGCCACAAGTAGCGGAGCTGGGTCAGAAGGTTTTGCACATTATAGGCGTTGGCTCCCTGCTCAACTCATGGAAAGGCTCAGGCAAGCCGGGGCATCACCGCAATTCGTCTGTTCCGAGCATTCATCTTGGCGCGGGTGGCGGACTGACTCGCTCTACGTCGTGGGTTGAAACTAATCTAGGTGAGGCCCAGGGAGTTTTTCCTTTTCTCATTCAAGTCTATATTTTTTTTCTTGCAGCATCTCTGGTTGCGCCTCTAAGAAGTTCCGCGAGTCCTACCAGGCCGAGCTTTCTAAGCGTCAGCCCAATGGGAATGAGGAGGGTGCCGTCCCTTGAATTTTCCCCATCCTTAACTGCACGTGAGTCGACGAGACTGTCATCACGTATTCCGGGGGAAGCAAGCAGCGGCCTGACTCCTACAGTTCCCAAGGTCCACTCCATGGCAGGATTTGCGGAAGCCGGCTCCATCCTTTCCGCTACGAACCAAACTTCCCAGCAAGACGTGCCTGCCTCCTCCCTCTACGACTGGAGCTGCGGCCACTTCTCAAGGCCACTGCTTGAGCCAACTCAGGACGAAGACGGTGACGCTCCTGCGTTGAGATTAGCGCGCGAGAAGAAAGCAGTCGACGGGATTTCAAAGTGCCAGCATTTACGTAGGCTATCCATTTCTCGTGTTTTCGCTTTTAGCCGTGCTAATTGTGTTGGCTCGTTGCAGATGTAACCAAGCTAGGTGATCCGATCTGGGATGGACAATCGGACAATTGTACGAGAGCAGTTGTCCTTCACCCATTTGACCCCCTTATTTGCGCCGCTGATGACAAGGAGACTATCAAGTAAGCCGATCAGCTTCACGTAGTATGTTTCCCTTATCGAGAGCTGGTCTGGTCCATGATCAGGGTCTGGAACTACGAGGAGAAGGACGGAAGCGAAATGAACTCTTTCGACAACCATAGCTTCCCTGAACGCGGCGTTTCAAAACTCTGTTTCGTGAATGAGCTCGAGCACAGTTTACTGCTGGTGGCCTCAAGTAAGCTGGCATTTTGTTTTATGCTGTTGCCTCGTCCTGAGTATCTATGGTGGTGTAGGCGATGGCAGTGTAAGGGTCTGGAAGGACTACGCTATAAAGGGAAAGCAGCGCCTAGCGACGTCGTGGCAGGCACTTCAAGGCCCCAGGCCGGGCAACCGAGCTGCTAGTGCTGTCGTCGACTGGCAGCAAGCAACGGGTTACCTGGTACGTGTGTCCTTTGTGGAGGGTCGGTCTGCATACTAAGTTTGTGTATGCATGCAGTACGCATCAGCTGGGGAGTCGTCGTCAATTGTGGTCTGGGATCTCGACCGAGAGCTGCTGGCATGCACCATACAAGCTCCAGGAGAGAGTGGCATTTCAGCCATGGTGAGTTGCTGCTGTAGAGTGAAAGCTACGCGTTCCATCATCTCTCGGTTTTGCAGTCTGCATCACAATCTCCGTCGGGGGTTCTAGCTGTAGGCTGTTGTGACGGAGCTGTTCGCATCTACGACATACGATCTCACAGCCCGTAAGATGATTTTGATACTTCTTTGGACGTGGCATTTCTCTCAACTGTTGTCCCGGCAGGCTCGTCTCTGGTATGAGGCCACACACGCACAGGGTGATAGG